GCATGGGCGCCCCCACCCCCGCAGGACCGGTTAGCAGGAAGAGTGCTCCAGATGCCCGAGGGCACCAGGGCCCCGCTCCCTGGCCTTTTGCGCACGGTGGCCCGCCTCGCGGCCAGCCTCTCTGGCATCCTCGGGCTCCTGGGCCGCCCCGCCTCAGCTGTCTTCCCACTGGCTGCGCCTTTAAAGCCCCCGTGATTGGCCGGTCCGGGGCCCCATCACGGCCCTTCTTGCGGCATCCGGCCCCCCGTCCCGCTGCGGTGCGCGCCCTGCTCGAGTGTGGCGGGGATGTGAGTCTCCGACGCCTTTTGGCCCCAAAGCGGCCGCGGGCCCGCGGCCGGCTCTGGCCATCCCAGAAGCTTCCTGGAACCCCAGTGCCTGGAAAAGGCAGCCAGGCTCCTGGAAGTTGGAGTTCAGGGAAGGACGCCCCCCCCCAGCGGCGGGGGCTGTGTCCTCTGCGCCGGCGCCCCCCCCAGACCCGCGCCCGCGGTCCTGGCCGGCCTCCTGCCCACCTCTGCCCCGCAGAGCCCGTCCTGAGCGTCTTCCACGGCGCCGAGGGTCCCCTCGCTGCCTCCAGCCGGGGCCTCCCAGAAACGACGTCCCCTCGATTTCTCGCGAGCGGAGGACCCGCTCGAGCTCCCGGTGCTTCCTGGCTGCCAGGGCCTCCGCGGGGATCCCTGGAGCACGGGAGGGGAAGCCCTCTTGACCGCTGGGCACTCCCGCCCGGAGGGAGGATGGACATTCTGCCGGCACCCACGCCCCCATTGCTTACCTTCGTGGAGCTCCTGTCATGTGCCTGCTGTTGTGATTCCCCTGCTTGTTTCCGCCCGTGACAGGGAACTCACCACCTTGCAAGGCAGCCCTGTTTCTCTCTCTCAGGAGTCTCCCCACTGGGAATTCTACCTTGGCACAACCCAAGACATGGGCGCTCCATCCCAGAATGCAGAGGAGCATCAGGCAGCCTGAATTCAAATCCTACTCTTCCGGGGCCTGACTTTGAATGGGTTATTGAACCTCGTTGGGCCTCGGTTTTCCCTGGCTGGGAAATGGGTCTAATAAGCACCTACGGTGGTGAGTTTTACCTAGGAATAAAACTTGGCACATGTAAGTGCTTAAAAAGAGACGTGTCTCCCTTCCCCACTCTCCTCAAGTGCCTACTGACTAACCCAGAGCGTAGCAGCTAAGAGGACAGGTTCTGGAGTCAGACTGACCTAAATGTGAGTCCTTGGGCAGATCAGGCTGCCCTTTTTTCGGGCAAGAATACTCAGCAGAACCTGTGTCATGGGGGTGGGAGGGGCCAATGATATTATGCAGGTGAAGCACAGGGCATGGCACACAGTACGTGCTCCATAAATGTTGGTTGTTTTAGCCATTTCTGTTTATGGTCATGAATACCTCCAGGGTATCCCTGGTTCCCTGCATAGTAGGGTCTCAGCAGACGCTTCCTGCCTGTCTCCCTTTATGTGTGGGCTTAGAAGGGGCCCCGGTGAGCCAGGAAGGGAATAATGTCCCAGCAGTGCAGGTGGCCTGTACTGGGATCCTCCCACTGGGTCCTGCCGGTTTGCCATGTCTCACTCGTGAGTGGTGGGATGGGACAGGTGCTTGGGACAGTCTCAAGGGTGAGGGTGTTTGGTGTCCAGGAGTTGGCCTGGAGCAGGGCTCAGGCCCAGCCACAGGAGGGGGACCAGAATATGGGGTTGGAATTGGAGTTCCAGGTGGGACTTGGTATGGGCCTGGCTGGAGATAGATACCAGGTCCTAGCTCAGAGCGGCTCTGGTCGGGACTGTGGCATCTTGAGCTAGTCCTAAGCCCACGGTAGAGGGATCCCTTGTCCAGAGACAGCCCTGCTGCTCTCAGAGTCTGGGGAGCATGCAGCCTGCAGGGAGGGGTAAGAGGTGGGGGCTTAGGAGGCCACCCCAGCAGAGCAGGCCCAGTGCGCCCCTCAGCTCCACGGTATCATCTCGGAGGGCAGGAGTTCCAACACCCGGGACTCAGTTTCCCTCGGCTACCAAGGCAGCATTCACTGGTTCATTCTTTCCTTCATTCTAGAGGAATCTGTTTCATTCTCCTGGGCCTGTTCTCAGGCACTGCTCATAGAAGAGTGGCCAACCCAGGTTCTGCTTTTGGGAAGGCCTTGTTCAGTGTGGAGACAGACAGACAGATTGCTCTGTGTGGGACGCAGCACCCAGCGGGCATGGGGGCAAATGAGTTAGGACGGCAGTTGGGATGCCACGGTGGCAGCAGGGCAAAGGCTGGCATGGGTTGAGGACAGGAGCTGTCACAGCGGGAGGGCAGGTATAGAGGCCCCGAGACCAGGGGCCTCACGATGTTGGGTGGCATTGTGCCCTCCCCTCCCTTACTTTACTCCAACTGGATGGAAGGATGTGGTGGGCTCAGGGCGGAAGTGAAATCTTAACTCTTAGCACGCTGGACTGAGGGGCTCTGTCCTCCTTGTGCCAGTTTTAAAGCTGTTCCCTAAACTAAGTCCACCCAGAGCCTCAGCGTGACCTTATTTGAAAACAGGGGTCTTGCAGATGAGATTCGTCATGACAAGGCCACACTGGAAGAGGTTGGGCCCTGAATTCAATGACTGGTGTCCTTAGAGGAAGCCCACCGAGAGAGGCAGACACACACAGAGAGACAGGCGCATGCACAGAGGCCATGTGACCACAGGGGCAGACACACAGAGAGAAAGGCCGCATGATCATGGAGACAGATACACGGAGGCCACGTGACCACGGTGGCAGACACACTCAGGCCCTGTGACCACGCGGGCAGACACACACAAAGAGGCCATGTGGTCATGGAGACAGACACACACACAGAGAAAGGCCACATGACCACGGGGGTAGACACATTCAGAGGCCACATGATTATAGGGGCAGACACACACAGAGAGGCTCTGTGACCACAGGGCCAGACACAAAGAGAAACCACATGACCACAGAAACAGACACACGAAGAGGCCACATGACCACGGGGACAGACACAAACAGGGAGAGGCCACATGACCGTGGAGCACAGACACATAGAGGTCACATGATCACAGAGGCAAGCAGAGAGGTCATGTGACCATGGTAGCAGACAGACAGCCACATGACCACAGAGGCAGACACACACAGGGAGAGGCCACAGAGACATACACACACACAGAAGCTACCCAACCAGTGGGGCAGAGGTAGAATGAGGCGTCTGCGCACCACGAAGCACCAGGGATGGTCAGCATCAGGAGCCAGGAGGGCAGGAAGACCCCGCCCCTGGAGCCCTCAGAGGGAGCGTGGACCTGCCCATACCTTGACCTCAGACCTCTGGCCTCCAGAACTGTGGGTGGAGAAATGTCTGTGGTTCTGAGTACCCAGTTTGTGGGAAAGTATCACAGTGGCCCCAGGACATGCACAGGTCCCCTGAGCTGGCCTTTTCCAAGCACGTTGTCCCAGAAGACAAGGTGCGTCCGCATCCAGATGGTGACCACATGCCCATGGCCCTCAGCTCTGCTGGGCAACTCTGAGTGGAGTCCAAGTGCTTTCACAGCCTCTCCCCACTGCCAGCATTCCCCCCATCCACCCATGCAATCACAGGTGCTCAGAGAGCCAAAATGAGGACTTCCTCTCTGACCAAAACCTGTTTTTAGGGCTTTCTTACATACTTTTTTTTTTAATTGGGATCTCACTATGTCACTCAGGCTGAAGCGCAGTGGCACAATCACAGCTCACCACAGCCTCCACCTCCTGAGCTCAGGTGATTCTTCTGCCTCAGCCTCCTGTGTAGCTGGGACTACAGGTGCATAGCACCGCACTGGGCTAATTTTTTTATTATTAATTTTTTGCAGAGTCAAGGTCCCACAATGTTGCCTAGGCTGGTCTCGAACCCCTGGGCTTAAGCAATCCTCCCGCCTCGGCCTCCCAAAGTGCTGGGATGACAGGTGTGAGCCACCGTGCCCAACCCCAAACCTTTCTTTTAACCTTTTATTAGGGAAAATTTCCGAACTAGATGTTAGTGGAGAGAATAATAGAATGCCTTCCATCCACCGTCTCCTCGTGGTAGTAACTGTCAGCTCATTCTGCCACACCTTTATCCCCCATTTTCTTCTCTGCAGCATTTTTTACTTGTCTTTTGCTTTTCTTTATTTAAAAATTTGTTTAAATTGTAGATTCGGGAGTGCCTGTGCAGGGTAGTTCCGTGGGTATATCGCGAAATGGTGAGGTTTGGACTTTACTGAACCTGCCCCAGATAGGAAGCACAGCGCCCAT